ATAGATAGATAGATAGATAGATAGATAGATAGATAGATAGATAGAAGCAACACACAATAAAAGCAGAATAAAGCAAGCAATCTCCCTTGATGCAGCCAACAGCATTATCTTCTGACTCCATCTTCATCTTGCCCAGCACATGGGAGAAGATCCAGATGTTTATGGTTTTCTGGAAAGGGTGGGGGCCTGCTGGATGCTATTTACAGTGATATGTGTGTGGGTCTGTGTCTGTGTGATATAAGGCATATTTCTCTCTTGTGGCTCCTTGACAGGTTTTCCGTAGTTACAATGGACAACCTGTGGATGTGGCAGACGATTTTTCCCTGCATGCCTGTTCGGTCGTCTCTACCCTGATATTTGGGGCTGTGGTGAGTCCTCCGACCTGCTGCACTAAGTCCTCTGCTGACGCACCAGCAGCGTTTCCAGTGGCTTGGCTGCTCTGAGCTAGCTCTGTCTCTCCATCCATCGTAGGACATTTCCACCGTAGAAGGAATGCATCACTGCATGATCAAGCTGGTTGAAAAGTGGAGCGCTGCTTCCATCCAAATTCTTGATTTCCTTCCCATCTTCAAGGTAAGGGCTGGTTGGAGGTTTTTTGGGTGCTGCCAAGGCAGTGTTGGCTCCTGGTGACCAGTCCCTGCAGTTTTCTTGGCAAGGTTTTTTTGGAAGGGGTTTGCCTTGGCCTTTTCCTTCCTGGGGGCTGGGAGAGAAGGTCTACCTCAGTTGCTGGCTGGGGAATTCTGGGAGTTGAAGTCCACACATCTTCAAGTCCCCAGGGTTGAGAAACACTGCTAGTCCTTCCTCACCTATGGAAATTAATTGGGTGATGGTACCAGTTTATTTTTAAACTGAAGAAGGGGACTGTAGCGGAATGGAAATTGAGGGATTTACCTCCCTCCCTCCCCCTCTCTCTTTCTGCAAAGCTCAAATGCTCTCTGAATGAATGACAATACATTTAACTATATTTAATATACAACTATACTATTACAATATTTAATATATTTATATACTAGTGTTTCTCAACCTTGGCAACTTTAAGATCTTAAAGTTGCTGAGGTTGAGAAACACTGGTCCAAAGCAATGGGCATGATTAATTTGGCCTTTAACTGACTATATCCAAACAATTTAGAGGGTGCAGATCTAAGGCTGGTTTGCAACAATTTAGATCTGAGCCAGGGGCATCTGTCAGGGAGGAGTCAAAAAAGTCAAGATGGCATCTGCAAACGCATGATGGAAGGCCTACCCCTTTTACATCCACACATAAAAAGGGGCAGGGTTTCAACATGCAGTCACAACCACTGTCTTGACCTTTTTGACCTTCCCATGGATGCTGTGATTGACAGAGACAGATAGGAAGATCACAGCTTTGTTTTGTTTTTTTCATATTTGGAAGTAATAATCCAGGTCTTCTATTTTGTTAAAAATAAAAATATCCATGCATCATATTGCTGGAGTTTTCAGAATGAAATGTACGAACTTGGTATAATGGTGGTCAGTATGTCAGGCTGATCTTGGACAGATTTGCATTCAACTCTATGTGCCAGGATACTCAACACATGTTGAATTGCCTCATATTTATCAAGGCTTTGCCTCCTTAGTTTTCTGAAGCAAAATCAGGGGCAGATATCAGCTCAGTCTGTTTTTGTCTCTGTCTCTGTGTCTGTATAAATGAACGTGTGCATGCAGGAATGAATAGGGGTTTTCTTCAAGAGGATTTAGATAAACTTTCCACTTTTTGATACCATTAACTTCCATAATCCTTAGCAAACATGTCCAGCAAACGTGGAAGTTAAATGCCATCCCATATGGAGGAAACCAGATTGGGAAAGCTATCTTAGATTGTAGTTCGGATCCTGACATGTTGTGTGGCTTACTATAATGTCACGGAATATTCATGCACATTCCGACTATTGAAGGAGAATGATCAACCACTGAACGTTGGAAAACAGCACAGTTCTCTGGACACAGAAAGAAAATTTGGTGAAGAAGGAGCAATATTCCTAAAATGTGAAAGGAGGATGGTCAAGGTGTCTGGCACATCCAAAAAAGGGAAGGCAGGAAGAAATGTAGTAGAGAGGTAAGAGTTCTGAGTGTTTATGCTGAAACCAACTTCATTCGGATCCTCTGTTGTGCCCCAGGTCTTCCCCAACCCTACTTTGCGGCACCTGCTGTCTTGTGTCAAAAGCCGGGATGCCTTGATCCAAGGCCAGATGAAGAAACACCAGGTGAGATTGGCTAGGTTAAGGTTATATCTCATGGAAGCCCATAGACAAGAGGATGATATGAGCGGAGGGATTTACTCATTGAAGAGCAGGAGTGATGAGAAGACCTTCCAGTTCTACAACCATGCTAAAATGGGTCAGGGTTTCCTGCAGGGATGGAGAAGGCATGTTTCTTCAGAGGCTGCTGGAGAGCAATTCCTATCAACAGGGTCAGAGGCAAGGAATTATTGGGACTGGGCCTTGAGCACTGGTTGATTGCTCATCGACTGGATGAATAGATGGATGAAATCAGCTCTGTCTTGCTGCACGTCCTCCTCCCTTTCTTAGGAGTCACATAGCCCTTCAGAGGTCCAGGACATGTTGGATGACATGCTGCAGTTTCTGCGTGACCATGGCACTGGAAAATGGGGGGAGACTGGCCTCCTGCTGGATCATGTCCACATGGCCATTGTTGACCTGCTCATTGGAGGCACTGAGACCACAGCAACCTTGCTCACCTGGGCTATCGCCTTCCTGCTGCACCATCCTGAGGTAGGATGAACAGTTTGCTGGGGGGCATGGTCCCCTAAATCAAAGTAGGTTCTCTCTCTTTGGGCCAAGTCTGGCTTTCTGTCAAAGATCTCCTCCTGCTTCAAATCTCTCTTTCTTTCTCCATGCAGAGGTCATGGAAGAGAGTCAAAGGTCTGTGCTAGTCCTGGGGAAGCTGTGATCTTCCAGTTGTTGGGCTACATCTCTCATTATTCCTCACCACCTGCCATGGCTGGCTGGGGAATCCTGGGAGTTGAAGTCCACATATCTTAAAGTTGGCAAGGCTGAGAAACACTACTTACATTGTTTCCCAAGCACTCTGCTCCAGCTTCCTGTGGTGGGATTTCTCCTGTTCCCGAACTTTACCCTGCTTCCTACTCATAAGGATTTGTTGCAAGTCACAATGATGTCATGTGTGTTATGATGTCATCACATGAATGATATAAACGTGATGTGACTTGCCTCCCCTGTGGACACCCATCTTCCCACTGGCCTGATACAGGCTGTGACTTCTCCTCCTTTCTTCTCCACACTTGTTCTGCTACTGCTGTGTTCTTCATCCATCTTAACTCTTCTGCTGATCGGTTTCTGATGGTCTCCTTCCAATGGTGTCATTAGCTATTCAGTTTCTTGGCTGATTGGTGCCCCGTATCAAGACAGCTGTTGATTGATTGATTGATTGTTTGATATCCTTTATTGACTCTTAGCTTGACATTTCATTAACTGTTAGGGCCATTAACAGACTGATGCCAACACAATCTCTTAGGGAGATTGCTGAAAAGTTCAGGTTTCCAATCGTCTGAATTTGAAAACCAAACACCACAATTGGTATTTGTGTCCTCATGTCCTCAGCATAATGGGTCTCATGACTAATATTAGAGCTAAATTCCTCAGATGATTTCACTCTCACTGGATTCAGAGGGGAAAAAATCCCTGTTATGAGACAAAACATTAACTCTCTGGTGGCAAACGAACCTATGAATTGTTTCTCTCCAAATCTCTAATGGAACTTCCTGGATTTACGAGTCTTTTTGACTATTAGGAGGGTCAGTTATTTAACTGGTTTTACTTGTGTAAATCAATATATTGTTAATATAATTTATTAACATTATATTGATTTACACAAATAAATGATTAATAAAAATGAATGTATTAATAACATCAATAATAATAAATTAATAAAACTAATTAGCTGTTCTGTTCTTTATATCTTTTTTCTTCAGTTGCTAATGGCCCACTGTTTTCGCCCTAAAAAAATATAGAACTGTAAAGTTTAGGTAGAAGGACAGCTACTGAGCAATGTTCCTCTATGGTAGCTAAAGATTAGAAATCTGGTAGCACCTTATTTTTAATAAAATTGGTTAGTTGGAAAAGGTGTTACCAGACTCCTTTTGATTTTTTAGCTACCAAGCAAGACCATTATTTATCAGCTCTAACTGATAAGAAATGCTGTATTCAAAGAGAAAGGATTTGGACGGGCTTGTAACTTGATCTGCTCTGTTCCCAGCAGCTAGTGAAGGTAGTTCTGGGCCATGCATAATGTTTCTGCTGCCTTCTTCAAATTAGTCCTAAAAATCACCGTTCCATCACCCAGGCCTCTACTTCAGCCCCGGTGCTGCGGGCACTGCCATCCCCACCAAGCAATGTCATCTCAAGCCCCGCACCACAAAGCCCCAGCCGCCCCCAGCTGATCTTCGCCGTCTTCTTCCTCCCGCTGCTGATGAGGCGTGCCCAGCCTGGCCCTTCCCAAGGCAGCTGTGGCCTTGGGAGGCTTTGGCCCGGGCACGTCTTGTCAGCAGTGGGAGGGAGAAGACGGAGAAGGTCAGTTGGGGGAGGCAGGGACGGCAGAGTGCAGGGCGGCCCGAAGGGCAGAGATGGCGGGGAGGAGATAGGCAGGTGGGGGGAGTTCAAGCGCCGCTGCGGTTATAAATGCGGGCATCAGAACTTTGAGTGGTCACTGAACGAATGGTCGTTTAATGAGGACTACCTGCATTCTCTTCTTTCTTCCCACCATGGTTCTTCTTTCTCTGCCACTCCAGATTCAGGAGCAGATCCACCAAGAGTTAACCACAGTCATCGGATTCCATCGTGATCCAACCTATAGTGATCAGGAGCAGTTACCTTATCTCCGGGCCACCATCTGGGAGACCTTACGCCTGCGCCCCTCAGCACCCCTGGCTTTGCCCCACATGACCATCCGCAACACCAGGTAACAGGTTTCGAGAAGCCCCCTCATGCATCTGTGCTTGAGGAAGGGGATCCTGGTTCCCCTCCTTCTGCGTTCTGCCAGGTGCTCTTTCTACCCGCCTCCCTGCCCTCTGGATATCCATGACCCTGGTTGGCCAACAGTCAAAGACATCAAGCTTGTGGCATCAAGTTTTTTTTTTTTTGCTTAAAAACCTTGAGTGCCATTAGCCAGAACATGGGGAAAGAACATGGGCACAGCTCAGAGACTTCCAAAGGAAACATTTGTATCTGGTTATTCCATTGTTGGCTTGTTTTAGGGTTATAGTTTAGCAAGGCCGGTTGGTGCTCGTGGTGAAAGATGGGGAGCTGAGAATTCTTCTCAATCAGCTGCAGATGTGCTTTTTTGCAGATGTCTTGGAGTGTGTGTGGGCAGACGTCTCTCCCGTGGGCAACAGCAGTGGGGTCCAGGGAGAACAAGTAACACTCTGTCCATGATGACCTCATGATATATGCCCTGTCATTCTGACATCATTGTGGCTTCTATCGGGTGCCTGTGATCCCAGCAATGGGTGGCTGTCCAGGTGATGCAACCAGGACGGTGAAAAATCTCTTCCAAGATACTTTGGCACCCCTAAAAAGCTACAGTTATGTCAGAATGACGAGGATGTGCCAGATTGTCATCACTCTGATGAGCCAAATGCAGACTTGCGTCATGATCTCCAACACAAGCCTATAAGTTGTCTCATTTGAATGGTGACTTCATGACACCGTATCCTCATCCCTCTATGGGATAGGCCTCATTTTTCTCTTTCTGTTGGTTTTATGTGTAGAGACGGCCCAAACAGGGCTTTTGTTTCCTCTCCCATCTGAAACCCCACTGCAAAGCCATATAGACTAGATATTTTTCAGCCATATCACTTCAGGTCAGATATACATAGTATAGATCCCACATTTTAAAATGCCCCCTCTGTTCATTTGCTTAGGTCAGACTTCTCCAAACTGGTGTCTTTCAGACCCCCTTAAACTGTTTTATTTTTTTAGGGATTTTCCTACCCTGAGCTCTTTTCATATGATGTGAGGAATGAGACTCCTTAACAGTAGATAATACAATTCGATGGAAGCAAAGAAGGGAGGTTGGGCCACCTTCTTATGATGTAGCATAAGCTGATATAATTTTGTCTCTTTTTTCCTCTCCCTCTGATACCCTTTGCCAAGTCTGTCTGGGTTTCCCATCCCTAAGGGCACAACGGTCATTCCCAACCTCTATGGGGCCCACCATGATGAGACCAAGTGGCACCGACCGCTGGAGTTTAGGCCAGGTATTCCCACGTGCAAGTGTGTGTGTGTGTGTGCGTCCATGTGCGTGTGTGTGTGTGTGCGTCCATGTGCGTGTGTGTGTGTGTGCGTCCATGTGCGTGTGTGTGTGTGTGCGTCCATGTGCGTGTGTGTGTGTGTGCGTCCATGTGCGTGTGTGTGTGTGTGCGTCCATGTGCGTGTGTGTGTGTGTGAGAGAGAGACTGAGTTCATACATCACACTAACCCATAATGAAGTTTTCTTGGCTTAGTGTGTTGTGTGAACCCGATTGTGCGTTGTTCAGTGAAGTACCCTTAAGGAAACCATAGCTTAGCACAATGTATAAACCTGGCTATAGAGAAAGAGACACAGACTGGGGAGGAAATCTGTGTGAATTTTATGTCATGTTTTAGATGTACAAGTATGTGAGTGAGAGTCAGACGGAAGAGAGAGAAAAGCTGGGTTTGCACGTCATGCTAAGCCATAATGTGATTTGTTTTTAACTTAACAAGGTTATGGGAATAACATTCCAAGTGGCTTGAAGCTATGATTTGATATTCATCTATTGATTTCAGCTAAGCTTTAGTGTGAGGTGTGAAAGGGAATACATGGCTTATTCCTGGTTTTTTTTTTTAATTTATTTTGCCCCATCCAAGCCTCTAACCCAGTGTTTCCCAACCTTGGCAACTTTAAGATGTGTGGAAAGGATTTCTTTCTTTCCTTGCTAATCCTACTGGTCTCTTCCTTCTGCCCAGAGAGATTCCTGGAGGGTGAAGCCTCTGCTGATGCCCGACGGCATCTGGTGCCATTCAGCTGTGGGGCACGGGTGTGCCTGGGGGAAGCCTTAGCCCGCATGGAGTCGTTCCTCTTCCTTGCTTACATCCTGCGAGATTTCCAACTCTTGCCCTCATCAGCTGGATGCCTTCCTGACCTCAAAGGATCCTTTCGATTTCTTGTGCATTGTAAGCCCTTCCTGGTGCGGCTGGTGCCCCGGGTGGGGGCCACAGAACCTGCAAAATGAGGTCTTTGCGTGGCCAGGAAGCAGAAATCACTCTATCTGCTTGGATCCTCACTCCCCCTCCCTTAATTCCCTTGGCAGCCCTCAAGTTTCACCTGTGTAACTAGTCACGCATGGAGTTTTAGGATAGGCTTAAACTACAGATAGTCCTCATTTAGCGACTGCCTCATTTAGCAACCATTCGCAGTTATAACGGTGAGGGAAAAGCGATCTGGATGGCTCCCAGCCTGATGATATTCAGGAAGCTACTAAAGATCTGGCTATTCTCCCAGGCTTTATAACAGCGTCATGTCACAAAGCTTCTACTGGATTTGTTGTTGTTTGATATGTTTGACTTTGGGCTGCTCATGATCTCTTTCTGCTTTTTGTATTTTTTTCTTAAAGTTACCCAGAATTTTTGGGAGTTGGGTGGCCTCTAAATAAAATAAATAAATAAAATGATTCGAGGAGGAGGAAATGGTTCTTAATGCCCGCTTGATGCCCTCTTGATGCTTCTTCATGCCCACTGCTAGTCATGGTGCAAAGTCCTGGTGCTAATCTCCAGTGTTACTCAGATGCCCCTTCATTGTGTTGGTGTGTGTGCCAATAAAAGAACAAGCAAGATTTCTATTCCTGTAAATCTGGGTGTTGTCTAGGCCTCTTTGGGAGTTGTGGCACCATGGGGGGCTATGGAAGGATGAATATTCAGGTTTGCACGGTTGCACGACAAGCTCTGCCCTTTAATACCTGGGTTGAGTCACTGCAGGCATGAATGAAAGGGGCAGAGTTTGTGTGGTGATGGTGGTGATGCTGCTATGGCCATTTTGACAAAAGTCTCCGATCCTGTGGACCCCTCCGATCCATTATCTGGACATTAACAAGAGAAGGTAGGTGGAATTAGTGATATTTCCCTACTTCATATCTCTGCAAATCCACCCAGCACACTAGCGGAGGGCTGCAGTTTTGAAAGGTGTGCTCTCCCGAAAGTAGGATCCTGCATCGACTTCTGCTCCATTCCTGTTGCCCTGGTGCAATGGGGTGGTGGTTTTGCACTGATGGTCAGAAGGGGGAAGGGCAGCAAATCCAGAGGTTTAACCAACTGCTTGGCTTAATACAGCCTGTACGTGGGAAACCAGGACACCACGATCCAACATCTGCCACCCGAACAGATGCAATAAATGCAGAAGAGGGATCAGCAGTGGAGACAGGCTATTTTATGCCAAGATAGTTTCTGCTGACTCAAGGAGCGGCGCGAGGGTTGCTCATGATCTCAAGCAAAAAGAGATCATGAGCAACCTTTTAACTCAGAAGTGGGGAAAGGCCCACAGAAAAGAGGGATGAACAAGGGGAACAACACATTAGAGTCAGCACAAAGTTGCGGCGGGCTGATCAGATTGGGAAATGCCCAGAATCTTAGCTACTTTGGAGTCGACAGACTCTTTTGCTACTGACACTAATTAGAGATGACTCCAAAGCAACTAGCTCTAGGGTGTTTTGCTAGGTGACACGCCTCTACCCTTTCTAGGGTAGGTCCCACCAATTCCTGTTTGGGTCAGAGCAGTGTTCCTCAAGCTTGGCCACTTTAAGACAAGTAGACTTCAACTCCCAGAATTCCCCAGCCAGCATGGCTGGCTGGGGAATT